CTGCTGCCTAGCAGCTGCTGCAACCTTCCCCTGCTGCAGCAGCAACCGCGCTGCTGCAGCAGCTGCTGCAGTTTGCTGCGCACTGCGGCAGCTAAATGCTGCAGTCCATACACCTCTAAAAATTCAAGCAGCAAATCCCTGCTGCTGCCGCTGCTGTTGTTGCTGCTGCTGCTGTTGTTGCTGCTGCTGTCTGGTCCCTCCATCTCTAGCAGCAAAGGGGGACCACCCTGCAGCTGCAGCCGCTGGGCACGAGGGCCACAGCTACCTGCTGCTGCTGCTGCTGCTGCTGAGTAGTTTGCTGCAGCAGCAGCACAAGACACGGCCAACGGCGTTGGCCTGTCTTCGCGCACCTCCAACCATATTACTGCAGCACACCACAAGCAGCAGCAGCAGCAGCAGCACTTGTAAGAACAGCAGCAGCAGCAGCAGCAGCGGCACTTGTAAGAACAGCAGCAGCAGCAGCAGCGGCACTTGTAAGAACAGCAGCAATCAGCAACAGTTAACGGAGTCACCTAAACCAAAGCAGCAACAGCAGCAGCAGCAGCAACAGCAGAGGCAGGGGCAGCAGCAGCAGGAGACACCATACTTACTGTCTTCCGGATGCCCTTGATGGGTAGAATCTTCCTCCTGTTGCTGTTGCTGTTGCTGCTGTTCTTGCTGCTGTTGCTGTTGTTGCTGCTGTTCCTGCTGCTGCCCCCCGTCAGCATGCCTGCTTGCTACATGGGTCCCAGGGGCAGCTGGATCAGCAGCAACAACAACAGCAGCAGCAGCAGCAAGTGGTTTATCTTGCTGCAGTGCATATATCTCTCCCTTGCGGCTGCCGCTGCAGCACTCCAGCAGCAGATCTCGCTGCAGCAGCGGCAGTGCAGCAGCAGCACAATCATCAGCAGCAGCAATTGGATAAGAGAGAGGAGCTAAGTGCTTCTGTGCTGCTGCTTCCTGGGGGTTACCCCCTCCTACTAATGCTGCCATGCGCCACATGCTGCTGCTGCTGCTGCTGTTGCCGCTGCTGCTGCTGCTGTTGCTGCTACTGGTTCATTAGCTGTCCTAGGGCAGCCGCAACGGCTGCTGCCTCTGTTTCTAACACTTTGCTGAGCCTTGCTGCTGCAGCAGCAGCTTCAAGCTGCAGCAGCAGCAGCAGCAGCCCGTTGCGCAGCGCCCAAATGAGCGCTAGCTTGGCAGTCGCATTGCTGTTGCTGCTGCTACTGTTGCTGCTGACGATGCTGCTGCTGCCGATGCTGCTGCTGCTGTTGCTGCTGCTATTGGGTATGCTAGTCCAATTAAACCCCGTTGCGTCCTAAGACATATAAGTATTAACCAGCCGCTACTGCTGCTGCTGCTGCTGCTGCCCCTGCTGCTACTGCTGCTGCGGTTGTTGCTGCTTCGACTGCTGCCACTGCTGCTGCAGCAGCAGCAGCAGCAGCATGAAGCCAAAAAGAAAAGAAGAGAGGAAGTATTCAAGAAAGACAGAAGGACCCTCTGTCCTTACCTCATCGTAGCCTGCTGTCGCTGCTACTGTTCACGGTAGCAGCAGCAGCAGCAACAGCAGCAGCAGCAGCAGCAGCAGCGGCAGCGGCAGTGGCTGGTTGTGTTGGCGCCAAGCAGCGGGTGCAGAAGTTTGTATCCAAAACTGCTAAAACCCTAAACCCTAAACCCTAAACCCTAAACACTAAACCCTCTAGAGGGATTGGGAGTGGGGTATAGTGGGTAAGCCCATGATCTCGATGTGTGTGCCGCTGCTGCTGCTGCTGCTGCTGCTGCTGGTTGCTGCAGCAGCCGCTGCCTTCCTGTCTTTCCTGCGTATTGGCTATTTTGCTGCACTTCCCTAGGATTAACTGCAGCAGATAAATTTTAAATAATTATTAATAAACTGTTAACCCTAAACCCTAAACCCTAAACCCTATTACTAAACCCTAAACCCTAAACCCCAAGAAGACAGAATTGCCACAAGGCAAGAGGAAACCTGCATAGGGCTTCCGCCCCATATTCATATTACGACTAGGCGTTAGGGTTTAGGGTTTAGGGTTTATGGTTTGGATAATCGTGTGGCTGTGGCTTCGTGTGGGTTGAGGGTTTAGCATTTAGTGTTTAGGGTTTAGGGTTTAGGGTTTATGGTTGGAGGCAGGGAGAGCTACGAAGAAACCCTTTCTTCTGGCGAGGGTTTACGTTAGGGTTTAGGGTTTAGCAACTACACCTGGAGGTAAACAGGTTTTGGATAACGCAGTGCTAGGGTTTATTGCTGAGTACTTAGGGTTTAGGGTTTAGGGTTTCTTAGGGTTTAGGGTTTAGGTGTTTGGGTATGCAAGAAGAAAGAAATAAAAGGAAAAAAAAAAAGTAAATAAAAAGGAAAATAAAATAAATAAAAGTAATTAAATAAATATAAATAATAAATAAATAAATAAATAAATAAAAAAGAAGAAAATAAATAAAAATAACAACAAGACAAAACCCTTCTCCTCCTCTAGTTGCTGCTGCTACTAGATCTGCAGCTGCTAGAGCTGCTGCTGCAGTAGCTGCTACTGGTAGTGCTGCAGCAGCACATGAATTAAATATGCTTGCTGCATGCATTTTCTTGCTGCTGCAGCACAAACTGCTGCTGCTGCGTAGGAGAAAAGGAGAGAAAACTTTTTGCATGCAAAGACACCACATATGTATCCTTAACAAGAAATTATAACACACCTGCTGCTGTTGCTGCTGCTGCTGCAGCAGCAACAGCAGCAAGAGACTCGTGTCCTGCTGCACTAGGTATTTGTCACTCTCTCCCCTTGTTTGCTGCGGAGGTCTTATGACCGCAGACGTTCAGCAGCAGCAGCAGCAGCAGCAAAGATAGACGAAGTAACAACAACAGCAACAGCAGCAGCAGCAACAGCAACACCAACAGCAGCAGCAACACCAACAGCAGCAGCAACAGCAACACCAACGCAAGCAGCAAAGGCAGCAGTACACTTTAAATGCCAAGAGAAACACAAGGTCTATCATACTGCAACACAGCAACAGCAGCAGCAGCAACTGCTGCTGCTGCTGTTGCTGCTGCTGCTGCAGTATGTAGCGCACAGCATCTGCTGCTGCCAGCAAATTAAACACCATAAATTAAAAGACAAATGCACGCTGCTGCTGCTGCTGCAGCAGCAGCAGCAATCCTTCATCCGCAGCAGCAGATGCAGCAGAAGCAGCAGCAACAGCAGGAAGAAGCACTGCTGTTGCTGCTGCTGTTACTCGAGGCTGCTGCGTCCTACTGATACTACTAATACTAGTGCTGCTGCTGCTGCTGTTGCTGCTGCTGCTGCAGTTACTTCTTGTCTTTGGCGAGCCTTGCTGAGCGTCGCTTAGTTGTTTGTTCTTCTCCCTTTGCTCCCTCGTCCTTCTTGCTGCTGCTGCTGCTACTGCTCTCTGCAGCTGCTGCTTTAGACTTCTTGCTGCTGCTGCTGCTGCTCTCTGCTACAACTGCCTTCTCCTTTTTGCTGCTGCTCTTATGGCTAGTATCAACAGCAGCTCCTGCTTCTTCATGTTGCTCCTCTCTGCACGTACACCGCAGCAGTAGGAGCAGCAGCATCAGCAGCAATTCAGCAGCAGCAACCTTGCTGCAGTTTCTATTGCTGCAGCAGCTTTTGCTGCAGCAATAGCTACCTCGCTGCAGCAGCACACAAAGAAGCTTACCTTGGCGACTCGTGTTCCCCCTGCTGCTGCTCTTGCTGCTCTCCATCTTCATCTGCCTGCTGCTGCTCCTCCTCTTGCTGCTGCTGCTGCTGCTGTTGTTGTTGTTCTTCGTCTTGCTGCATATCTTCCCGACGATCATCAGACTGCTGGCGCTGCAGCACCTTTTCCTGCTGCTGCTGCTCGCTTGCTGCAGCAGCAGCAGCATCCTCTGATGGAGCCACCGCAGCAGCTATTTTGCTGCTGTCTTGATCTGCTGCTGCTGATGCACCTTCTTTAGGAGCAGCAACATCAGCAGCAGCAGAATCAGCAGCAGCAGCAGCAACATCAGCAGCAGGAGCAGCAGATTCCCTATCAACTAACATATCATTATCTTCCTTATGTGCATTATTACCATTCTCTGCTGCTTCTTCTGCTGCAGCATTGCTGCTGCTTCCCTTCCCCTCTGCAGCAGCAGCAGCACCACCACCAGCACCACCTGTTGCACCAGCTGCACCTGCTGCTGCTGCACCAGTAGGTGCAGCAGCAGCAATCTGTGGCAATGGCTGATGTAATACTGTAGGCCTTGGGGTGTATATCCACCCCTCCTGCATGCGCAATTTAGGGTCCGGGTGTGGCGCCAATTTCTTGCTATTTTTGCTTGGCTTCCTTAGTATAGAGAGTACTAAAAAGTCGCCGACTTGAAATTTTACATCCTATAGAAAAAAAAAAAAAAAATATAAACCCTAAACCCTAAACCCTAAACCCTAAACCCTAAACCCTTAATTATATAGGAAAAATATTCTAAATCAAGAAAAATGCTTCAAAATGAATACACTAAACCCTAGTATTATATGTCGGCATAAACCCTAAACCCTAAACCCTTGTGCATGCAGTGGGTTCACACCTCTCTATAAACACTAATTTAGGGTTTAGGGTTTAGGATTAGAGGCTAGGGTTTAGGGTTTACCGCTAGGGTTCGCGAGTCCTCCTTTGGATCGGGAATGATTGAGTGCAGCAAACCAACATCAGCGAATACATTCTGGCCCTCCTTGTCTGCATACAACAAACCCTAAACCCTAAACCCTAAACCCTAAACCCTAGCCCGCTACTGCAGCAAAACCCATGAGGCTTTTTGCTCCGATTAAGCTTCTAAATTCATCGAGGGTTTGATGATCTATAGACTGTAGGGTTTGCATCCTTATGCTGTCTAGGGTTTAGGGTTTGTTTAGGGTTTAGGGTTTAGGGTTTAGGGTTTACCTGGATAACAGAGCCTAAATTGCCATAAAGCTCTTCTGTCTCTTGCCTCTGCACAAACATCTTTTATTAAATAACAAATCTCTCGAAGACGGGTATCCATCCATGCATACACCTGAAAACCCTCACAAAACCCTAAACCCTAAACCCTAGTAAACCCTAGTAAACCCTAGTAAACCCTAAACCCTAGTGAACCCTAAACCCTAAACAACTAGAATACGCAGGGCAACGAGACGATAAAAGCCACAATCCCCTCCTGCTGCCCCTCCTAAACACCCCCAAACCCTAAACCCTAAACCCTAAACCCTCGTTAATGGTGTAATGTACCTGCAGCTCATCTTGTACAGGTTCTTGTCCTCTAACCCTAAATTCCTCAACAGAATGTTGGGAATCTAAACGACAGAAAACCCTCAATAAAAAAGGAGGTTCTTTTTCTCTATCTACCTCACGTAATTGTTGGCGACGTAGGGCTGCATAGATATATATACACACACACAGTAAACCCTAAACCCTAAACCCTAAACCCTAAACCCTAAACCCTAATTGTTGAATGCCATACCCTAAACCCTGAAAAATCAATCCCGAAATATAAATGATAAATCCTGAGACCTAAATACCAAACCCTAAACCCTAAATTCCAAACCCTATATATCCCCAAAACCCTAAACCCTAAACCCTAAACCCTAAACCCTACCTTTTTTCTGTGCTCTTCTTTGTAATTTATCTTCTTGTGCCTTAAGCATTTCTCCTCTTATCTTCATTCTTGCAGCAAAGAATTCAGGAGGAGGCGATCCTCCCCTCCATGGACCTCCCTGTACACTCCGTGGATCGTTGGGGTGTATAGGCACATTGCTATTATTAAACCAATTGCTGCTGCTGCTGCTGCCGGGGCCCCATGGACCACCAGCAGCAGACCCTCTACCCTCCCAAGGACTGGACCGGGGCCCCAGGCCTGAGCCTGCACTTAACGGTAGAGGAGGCAGCAAGTTAGGGGGGGGCCCCCCTCTCCTACCATATCCATAGGAAACAGGGGTAGGAGCAGCAGCAGCAGCAGATCCGTTCTGCTGCCTGTTGCTGCTGCTACTGCCTACACCGTAGGGTGTACGACCACCTGTTGCAGCAGCAAACTGTCTTGCTGCATCAGCAACAACAGGACGCTGCACTGAAGGGGAACGACGTACAGGACGTCTATATCTGCTGCTGCTCCTGCTGCGGCTAACAGGCCTCCTGCGGTGTCTCATGCTGCTGCTGCTGCTGCGGCTCCTGCTGCGACGTCTGTGGTGCTTGCTGCTGCTGCTGCCACCACCATGGCCGCCTCCTCCTCCTGCTCCCCCGCTGCTACGCACACGAGGCGAACCACGATCCCTACGACGACGCCCCACACTCCCGCTGCTGCTGCGTCTATGATGCTTCCTGTTGTCGCGGCGGCTGCCGTTGCTGCTGCTGCGGCTGCGGCGGTGGCGCCGCCTGTGCCGATCTCCTGCTGCAGCAGGACTACGCGAGCGCCGACGGGCGACAGGAGAAGCAGAACGCCCCATCTTAGCTCTTGCTGCAGTGCAGCAGCAGCAACAGCAGCAAAACGAGCAACTGCTGCAGCAACAGCAGCAGAGGAGGGCAAAGAGCACCTCTAGGGGAAGAAACTCCCAGTTACTGCAGCAGCAGCAAACAGGCAGCTGCTGTAGTCAATTGGTATAAATAGAACAATTAGCAGCAACTTGCTGCTGCTGCTGCTGCTTCTGCTGCGGTTCTTCTTTTACGTCCCGCCCTGCGGGGACGGGAACGTGCAAACTCCGCAGCAAGTGCTGCTAGGGTTGCTGCTGCAGCAGCTGCTGCTGCTGCTGCTGTCCAAAGCTAATTATTAGTCAACAACTCTAGCTCCTTATAAAGGAGTAAAAATACAAGTGCTGCTGGAGAAGCTGCATGCAGCAGCAGCTGCTGCTGCTGCAGCTGCTGCCAAGGCAGCCACAGGAGTCCTGCGACGGCCGCAGCAGCAACTACTACACAGCTGCAGCAGCAGTAGTAGCAGCAGCAGCAACTCTAGCAGCAAAAGTTATTTTGCTGCATTAAATTAATTAGTATTTATAATTTACTTATTTAAGGAAGGAAGGAAATACATAAACCCTACAGACAGCAAAGGGCAGCTGCACAAGCCAGCCCCTTAAACAGAGCAGCAGCAGCAGCAGCAGCAGCATTAGCATTAGCAGCAGCAGCAGCTGCTGCTGCTGTGGCTGCTGCTAATACGTCTGTGTCTCCTGCTGCTGCTGCTGCTGCTGCTAGGACTACAATAACACAAAGACTACTCTTCTTACCTTCTTTTTTAATAAAAGGAAATTAACAACTACTAGACCTATTAGCTTCCTCCTTATAACAGCAGCAGCAGCAGCAGCAGCAGCAGCAGCAGCATTAGCAGCAGCTGGCGACAGCAACAGTCGGGCGAGTTTGTTGTGTGTCAACGCCAGTGTCCGCAAGGATTACAGCAGCAAGCAGCAGCAACAACAGCAGCAATAGCAGCAACAGCAGCAATTAAAGTAATTGTTTTTTGGCTCTATTTTCTTGTGTGTGTAAATACTCTGCTGCTGCTGCTGCTGCTGCTGCTGCTGCTGCTGCTCTAGCTGCTGCTACGGCGTCAACGCCGTACGACGTGTCTTACCACCGCAGCTGCTGACAACCCCACAAACTACTGGAGCAGCAACATTGGCGTCAGGAGGATCTGCAACAACAGCAGCAGCAGCAGGAGCAGCAACAACAGCAGCAGCAGCAGCATTGAGGTCAGCAGCAGCTGCAGCAGCAGCAGCAACAACAGCAAAATGGACCTTCAACTGTCGCGCTTGCATAAAACCCCATTCACAGATGTTGACAGACTTGTCGTCTTCCTCAACAAGACTGGTACTGCTGCTGCTGCTGCTGCTGTTCTTGTTGCTGCTGTTGTTGCTGCTGCTGCTGCTCCTGTTCCTGTTGCTGTGTTTATTGCTGCTCTTGCTGCGCTTGTTGCTGCTGCTGTGTCTGCTTTTGTGGATAGTAACTCCGCGCATACTGCAAAGGTGTGTGTGCGTGCATGTGTGTGTGGTTTGCTGCTGCTGCTGCTTTTACTACTGCTGCTGCTGTTGTTGCTGTTGCTGCTGCTGCCGCTGCTGCTGCTGCTGCTGCAGAGGGGAGAGACAAGGTTACAAAAGCACTTCAATGTGGCTCTCGTCTATTGGCTTGGGTATCGAGCAGCTCAAAGATATCCGAGAAATTTACTGCCATATACAGTAAACCCTAAACCCTAAACCCTAATGGCAAACCCTAAACCCTAATCTGAACCCCTAAATCTTAAACCCTAAACCCTTCTCGTTTATCCCTACTCTACTGACTTATTCTGCAGCTGTGACTTCAGCCATCCAGATCATCCTCCTTGCTGGCAGTACCAAACCCTAAACCCTAAACCCTAAACCCTAAACCCTAAACCCTAAACCCTAATTGTGTTTGTATAGGAGCGAGCTCGGACAGCCGCAAATTATTTCGCTTAGGGAAATTTATAAATGAATACATGGAGTTATTAAAGATTGCTGCTGCAAAGACACCTGAATCAGATATAGAGAAAAGGATTCAGGTACCATAAACCCTAAACCCTAAACAACCCTTTATTGTCGATCCCACACACTTCTTGCATACATTATGTATGTTGTCCCTGCTGGTAACCCTTCCATTTTAGGGTTTAGGGTTTAGGGTTTAGGGTTTAGGGTTTAGTTGGGGTTTTCTTATTACCATGACATAAGCAGCCACAACAATTGCGAACTGACCAACCTAGTATTTCCTGTTACCTCTTTAGGGTTTACTGTCGACGATTTACGATTTACATTTTTTTACAATTTAATGTTCATCTAGGGTTTAGGGTTTAGGGTTTAGGGTTTAGGGTTTAGGGTTTACGTATTTTTTTTTTTTTTTTTCAAGTTTTTTCAAGCCATATGTCGTACTTCTTATTTATTTTATTGGTTGACCGACAATTTTTTAATTCTTTCGAAATTAAAAATTATTAATCGAAATTCCCAAACACTTGCAAAAATTTCGGGAACTTTCTGGTAAGGATTCTGTTGCTGCTGCTGCTGCTGCTGCTGATGCTGCTGTTGCTGCTGATGCTGATGCTGATGCTGGTGTTGCAGCTGATGCTGATGCTGATGCTGGTGGTGCTGCTGATGATGGTGTTACTGCTGATGGGTCTGCTGCTGGGTCTGCTGCTTATTTATTCAAAGTGCATATACAATCGCTAAACCTTAAGGAGCATTCTTATTCAGGTGTTGCTGCTGCTGTTGCTTGCTGCTGCTGCTCCATTTTTTGTTGCTGCTACACTTCATTGCTCCTCATACGGGTTTATCTGCTGCTGCTGCTGCAGGCTCTTGGCTCTATTGGCTGGGATGTATTGTGAGGTGTTGCGGATGCGGGCAGCTGCAGCAGCAGCAGCGCAGCAGCAGAAGGGGGAAGATACACCTGATGCAGGGAAAGATGCTGAGGCAGCAGAGCTGCAGCTGCAGCACAGACGTAGAGGCCTGCAACTAAATCTTCTTAAGCAATGCTGTCAGTTCTTTGCTGCTGGGGTTGCTGCTGCTGCTGTTGCTGTTGCTGCTGTTGCTGTTGCTGCTGCTGTTCGTTGTCTCTTCCTCCTTTCCTTTGCTTTATTTATAGAGTTGCTTTTCGTCTTCTCTATTAGCTCCTCCCTTAATACATACATATACATGCATATGTAAGTATATAGTGCTGCTTCTGCTGTTCTTGCTGCTGCTGTTGTTGTTCCTGCTGCAGGTGACGTTCCTGCTGCAGCAAACCTGGCGGGGGTGACGCCGATGCTGCTGCGGCGTAACTTTAGTGATGGCTTTGTAGGAGCAACGGGTTTGCTGTCTGCCCTCATATCTTGTAAACAACTCTACTAGGTGGTACGGGAGTTAGCTGGCCGTCTAGCTAGCTAGCTAGCTAGCTAGCAGGCTAGCTAGCTAGCTAGCTCTCCTCTCTTTCCACACACACACAAACCCGCACAAACACCTAGCTGGCTGGCTAGCCTTATGGCCAGCTAGCTAGCTAGCCTCCCGCTCCGTCCAGCTAGCTAGCCTTGCTGGGCTGTTATAGTCTGTGACGAGGTAGACATCCCCAAGAAGGCGTTCGCTGAATACTGGGGGTTTAGGACGCAGTTTCTATCCATTGCCAGCTAGCTATTCATTGACAGCTAGCTGGATAAGTCAGCTAGCTGTCAGTGATAGCTAGCTGGATAGCTATTCAACAAGCAGGGCCCCCACGGGGAGGAGGGGGATAAGCCAAGCTTTTGTTCTTACACCGATGAGCTACAGACCCAAGCTACAGCACAAGCGACAGCAGCAGCAGTAGCGACAGCAGCAGCAGTAGCGACAGCAGCAGGTAAGAGTAATATCGCGCTTAGCAGTGAATTGGTTGAAGTAGATGTAAGAGGCTGTAGGGTGTGGTGCCTCTCTAAGGCGTAGGAAGCCCTTCCTAGTGTAAGACTTCAGTCCATGCACTAAGAGTACTGTGCATGCATGCGGAGGAGGCAAAAGGTGTTGCAGCGGAGAAGGCCGTGGCTCGGTCTTAACAGAGTTGTTTAGTGTTGGGGGGGGAGGGTTTAGTAGGGTTTAGGGTTTGGCGTCATACCCCGAAGCTCCCCGGAGGGTTGTGCCTCTCCGGGAGGTATAAGATATATACTCACCGCAGATAGGCTACTTCTCCCCCAGTTGGAGCGTATAAGTAGCAAGGAGAACTGTCTAGCCTCCCTGGTCGGGAAATGGGCGAGCAGCCGAAGAAATTGGCCGTCAGTTGGGTAGGACCATTTCCTACTCGTCCTCAGATCCATATTTTGGCTTAAATTGCCAACGTAGCCTGAGAAGGGGAGAATCGTTGCACGAATAACGGCCGCTCTCTCGAGAGGATAACAGGGATTCATACAACTTTCCTTGACTCCTTAAGACACTAATAATATTCAGGACAGGATAATCAATGATACTCTTGGTCCATCTGCCGAGCTTCCATAGGTGATTATTTAACCATTTAGTCACTCTCTATGCTGCAGACGAACTTGAACGAACTCGGGCTGACGGCGCTGAGTTTGTTCAACTTCATCTGTTTTTTGTCTGTCAGATATTCAGACGGCTGTGACAGCAGATGGCAAGGTAAGTAAGTCAACATCTACGGGGGTGTCAACAGAAGCCATAAACGATGCAGAATTCCTCTTCCACCAGCGCAGTAACCGAGGACAGTGCCTAACCTGTTGAGCATGGAGAGTTTGTGTCCGCTGCCACACAGCCTAGCTGAGCAACACCACTTCATACATCTATATAACCAATCATGCCTCTTTTACAAGAGAAAGGATATAGAATTGGCCGTTTTAGTTCTGCCGGTGCATTTGTGAACCTAAGAGAGCATACAGATTTTGTTTAGCAGGCAGCAGTGCATATTAAGGCATGGAGGTGGCAAATAAGTGCAGTGTTATGAAGGCAAAAGCATTGTTATGGGAAAACCCGAGCTTCTACCTTTTAAAGCGCTGGAATACAGCCGACGACGGGGCTCGAACCCGCGACCACGAGGTTAAGAGCCTCGCGCTCTACCGACTGAGCTACACCGGCGACAACACCGTTGGCGGGTCCTACACTCACCAGGCACGAAAGGAAATAATCAGAGTACGGAGTTGGCAATTCTAACGAACGCAAGAAGAAGAGGCCGGTGAGCAGCACGAAGCGGTTCCCAAGGTTTCCCAAATAAGCAAACATCCACGGGAATTCTTGCGCTAATCGGAGGAACTTGCTTTGTAGTCCAGTATAGAGTTTAGAACTTGCCTAGTGATGTGCCTTGTGCTCTCCAGTCAAGGCGCCATTTGAGGCAAGTGGCACTCAACGCATTTTAAGGCTGCCCTGTGTAAAAGGAGGTATGCTTGGTGTAACGGGAGTCCTCTGTTTGGTCCGAAGATTACCGTGGAAAGCAGTGGAGCCGAAATATCCAAGAGCATATTTCGCTTAAAGCAGCTGACCTCCCTCCCTAGCCTCCACGACTCCTGAGCAGGGTAGGCCAAGCACCTGGTGCTAGGAGAGAGGAGGCGGCCAGTCGTGAATTGTAACGCATGTTGCTGCTAGAGGCGGTGCAAGGCAGCGCCACATACAGGCGCAAGTCACATACAGGTAGAAATACGCCTTCTTTGCTATATGGATTACTGCTGTGTGCTCAGCTAGGCTGTGTTCCGCTGTCACACAGCCTAGTTGAGCAACAACACTACATGCATAAAACCACTCATGCCTCTTGATATAGTGCCAAATCGGCCGTTTTAGTTCTGCGGGTGCATGCGCGAGCCTAAAAGAGTATACAGATCTTGTTTAGCATGAACCAGTGCATATTAAGGCATGGAGGTGGCAAATATGGGCAGTGCTAAGAAGGGGAAAGCATCCTTATTAAGAAATCCGAGCTTTTACCGCTTAAAACGCTTGAATACAGCCGACGACGGGGCTCGAACCCGCGGCCACGAGGTTAAGAGCCTCGCGCTCTACCGACTGAGCTACACCGGCGACGAGACCGCCTGAGGATCCTTAACTCACCGGGCACGAATGCAGATAAACGGAGAAGTACAGAGTTGGCAATTCTAACAAACGCAAGCAGAAGAGCACGGTAAGCAGCACAAAGCGGTTGCCAAGGGTTCCCAAATAAGCAAACATCCACGGAAACTCTTACTCTAATCGGAGGAACGTCCTCTGGAGTCTAGTTTAGAGTTTAGAACTAGATTTGTGAGTTGACAAGTGTTATCCAGCCAAGTTTCCAGTTGATGAAAAAGGCATGCAATGCTTTTTAAGACTGCCCTGTGCCGAAGGACGCATGCTTTTTGTAACGGATGCTCTCTGCTTGGTCAGAAGATTACCGTGGAAAGTAGTGGATCCGAAATACCCAAGAGCATATTCCGCTTAAAGCAGCTGACCTCCACCCCCAGCCTTCAGGATTCCTGAGGAAAGCAGCTCAAGCACTTGGCGCTGAGAGGAGGTAGCCTGCCGTGAATTGCAACGCATGTTGCTGCAACAAACGGGGCACGACAGCGCCATATAGAGGCGTAAGCCTCATTTATGCATACATACGCCTTCTTTGCTACATTGATTACTGATGTAGATAACTGCTGAAGAATTCTGCGAGCCTATCGGCCGTCTACAAAAAATGTGGGAGCGTTCATGTGCCAACTTCAGATAACCTTGCCAATATCGGACAGACGGCGCTACGCAGTCCTTGATGCGTTGGCAAGCCACCAGACCTGGGTGGGAACAAAGGCGATAAAAGTTGGGCCCCGTTTAATTATCAGGCAATGTTTGCAGTTTTATGAACTATGGAGTCCAAATATTTCGCCTCCTTTGAGGTAACAACTATTCCCTTTGTAGAATGCTGCTTCGCAAAGCAGATGGGGTTAAGCACGGATGGCTGGGAAGGGCTAGCTGTATACATCAAGGAGGGAAAATAAATCCCATCAGTGTGTACACGCACTGATGGGAACCTGCTTATGAAGAAAAACTGTTTGCCAAGAAGGCCCGCTTGCCCTTCTATGTGGGACTGTCTTGTACCATCAGTCGCACTAAAGTGTGTTGCACGTACTCTCGGACCTTCTCCTCTAGCGTAAGTTTAGCCACCTTGGCCTCTGTGCACAGGGGGTCTCGATACTGGGGAGAAGTGTTAGCCGTTTAGCGGAACGTCTGTGCTAAGTACTTATTTTAGCAATTTAGCTCGTATGTGTTCAGGACAAGGTCGACAGCCCGCGCCACACAAACACTGTTGGATGAACGAACTAACACTGTACGACAGCTAAGCGTAATTGCCTCTCCCTTCAGCGGATAGGAACGCATGCACATACGCGAGCCAGAGTATAATACAGACCATCTCTTCTAATTCCTTTACAATGTAGCCCCCAAGAGGCAGTGTCGAGTGTTAGAGTTTCCTGCCAGTATGCACCTTGCCAAACCAGCGTCTCCTATTGTGTCTACAGCTATATTGTCATCACCATCAAGGAGCACAGCCTCCTCTATCAACCCTCGAAGGAAGACTACAAGAATGTCGGTCTGCTATCTGCTGCTATATTTGGATGCATGTATACTTGGGAGCAGTACGTAACATGGGGAAATATGCTGTTAGGAGATGACCTGGAGGGAACAAACATGAAGACGAGCAAAGAGTGTCGAACGGAGAAAAGTGACGTATTCAACCCTTGGGTATTAACGAGACGAGACGTCTGCATGCGCCTGCAGCAGCAGCAGCTGTAGCAGCAGCAGCAGCCGCTGCAGATATGGCATCAATTATTTACTTCCTGAGCAAAATACCCTTCAATAGATTACTGGCACTTCATATAAACATTATTTAGCGAAATAAAGCCGACGACGGGGCTCGAACCCGCGACCACGAGGTTAAGAGCCTCGCGCTCTACCGACTGAGCTACATCGGCGGTGGAGTCCCCTGAATCTAAGAAAACAGTAGGAGAGAAGCTAATTATTTTAGCAAATAGACTAAATACTAATTGTTCTCCTTCTTTATTTGATAGTGTTTGGGCACAAATCATAAATATTTTCCCTTTCCCCTCTTCTTTTTCTATGTTGGAGACGAACTCGCTGCCGATGTAGCTCAGTCGGTAGAGCGCGAGGCTCTTAACCTCGTGGTCGCGGGTTCGAGCCCCGTCGTCGGCTCTTTTGTATTACGTATTAATTCATTTATTTTGTTTTATTTTAATGTTAAGTTATTTAATCAATGAAATTTCTCCTAAATACCTCAGAATTAAACCCTTAGACACTGAAGTTGCTGCTGGAGCAACCACAAGGCTGCAGCGCCAAAGCGCCTCAGCCAGTAGGAGCAGCAGCAGCAGCAACAACAACAACAGCAGCAGCGGGAACAACTTTCAGAAGTCGCGGGACAGATAGAATAACGCCAAACACACAAGCAGCAGCAACTGCTGCTGCTGCTGCCGCCGCTGTTGCATGCACTGTCCAATGCGGCAGAACAGTCGAGAAGACACTGCTGCAATGTCTGGCCCCCAGCAGCAGCAGCAGAAGCAACAACAGCAGGAACTAGGGGGGGTTGAGGGATACAGTAGCTCCGTTGCAAAGCAAACGGCCTCATCAACAACACCAGGGGAAGCATCACGTGCAGCAGCAGGATCAGGAGGAGCAACACCCGCAGCAGCAGGAGCAGAAACAATTGCAGCAAATGAAGCAGGTGCAGCAGGAGTGGCAGCAGAAGCAACAGGCTTTCGTCTGCTGCCACTACAGCATCACTCCTCATCGTTTGTGAGTGATTCCGACTCTGACACATCCCCAATGTCATCATCAGCAGCAGCTGCAGCAGCAGCAGCAGCAGCAGCAAAAGAAGATGCAGCAAAATCCTTTGTTCTGCAGCTACAGCAAAAGCATGCAAAAGCTTTAGCTGTGTCGCCTCCTGGGGGCCCCCTACCCCCCCTAAGAAGGCCTCCCTTAGCAGTCCTCTTACGGTGTCTTGCTATAATATGGAGCAAAGAAGATCGCTAAATAACATAGCAGCAGCAGCAGCACCGACAGCAGCAACAGGAGGAGGAGGAGCAGCTGCAGTAGCAACAGGAGCCGCAGGCCAATACGGCCTATCAGTAGAGCAATACAAATTAGATCTCCCTGGCAGCGCAAGCAGGACGGCAGCAGCAACAGCAGCTGCTGCACCTTCAGCAGCATGCGCATGCATAACAACTACATAAGCAGCAGCAGCAGCATCAGCAGCAGCACTAAGAGTAGCAGCAGGTCAGTTCTTGAGCAGGGTTAACCCTTTCCCTCCTCTGCACAGCAGCACGATATATATACCTGGACGGACAACAGGTGCGCTAGCTAGCTAAGAAATTGGCTAGCTAGCTAGCTACGCAATTGGCTAGATGTGTGTTCGTCATATTGGACAAGCCAATGGCTAGCCAGCTACTTGGAGGGATGGTTAGTTGGGGTTTTGGTTAGCTAGCCAGGTAGCCCCGCTAGCTAGCTCGCTAGCTAGCTAGCTAGCAATGGTGCCAGCAGAGAGGTGACCAATATAGGAAAACATCCTGCTGGCTAGCTAGCTGGCGGGGGCGGGGGGGCTACAGAGGAAGGGCAGCTAGCTAGCTGGCAGCGGAAGCAGCTAGCTGGATAGAATCACCTGGCTAGCCAAGCTGTTGGCTAGCTAAGTCACTGGTGAGCTGCTAGCAGGCAGCAGCAGCAGCTCTTCTTCTTCTCCTTCCTCCTCCTTCTCATTTAAGGTCTCAGAGCTGGAGCTGCAGCAGCAGCAGCAGCAGCAGTACGCAGCAGCAGCAGATACAACAGCAGATGGTGCAGCAGCAGCACATACAAAGGCGAGGGGAAGTCTGCACAGCAGCAGCAGCAGCAGCAGCAGCAGCAGCAGCAGCAGCAGCAGCAAGAGGTAGTAGCAGCCTTACCTGCGGCTGGCCGAGTCTGGCTTGAGGGCTTCCAATCGTTGCGCCTCTTTGAAACGCGCGTGGAATTCCGATATACTCCTCTGCAGCAGCAGCAGCAGCAGCAGCAGCAAATGCACCAGCAGGTGCAGCAGGAGATATATAGTAACAAAAGCTAACTCGTGGTCTAGGGTTTAGGGTTTAGGGTTAAGATCTTACCTTGCTCTGTATGTGGGCTCGTTTCTCCTTCTTGTTCATCCGCTGCAACCACAGCAGTAAGAGCAACAGCAACAGGAATATCAGCAGCAGCAGAAGCAGCAGCAGGATCAGCAGGATCAGCAGCAGCAGCAGCAGCAGAGGCCTGCTGCGGTGTATAGGCACCTCTAGATTTTGTCTACCACGAGAGAAGCAAAATGTTTCTATGCCGAGGCGGTGCTTCTCAGAGGCAGCAACCTGCAGCAGCAAATAAACACACACAGTTTGCTGCTGTTGCTGCTGTTGTTGCTGCTGCTGCGTCTGCTGCACCAGGCGGTGGAGCTGCTCATTTCAGCTCGCTAGTTCTGCTGCAGCTGCTGCTGCAACAAGGGATGGGCGCGATGCCTCTATCTTTCTGGTGGTTCTGGTGCGGCAGCCGCTAGCGTTGCTGCTGCACTCGTGCTGCTGCTGCTGATACAGCAGGTGCTGCTGCTGCATGCGTGCTGCTGCTGCATTAGTTCTCCTCTCTTACCTGCCAGGTATCATGTTTCTTGGCTGTTTCTCCTCTCTGTATCGCATACATATCTCAAACCCTAAACCCTAAACCCTAGATTGGCCTCCTTTGTGGCGACCCTGAAGGCTTAAAGCGCCTTCGTTTGAGGGTTTAGGGTTTAGGGTTTAGGGTTTACCGCTTGTCTAATACGCAGCGCAAGGCTACAGATCTCTTGGCTCATCTGCTGCTGCTCCCTCTTCCTGAGCAGCAGCAACACAAGCAGCAGCGACAGCAACCTTACAGCAGCAGCAAACAACAGCGGTCCCAGCTGCTGATGCAGCAACGGTGGGGACTGCAGTCCGTACACTGCAGGGTTTAGGGTTTTAGGGTTTAGGGTTTATTAGTGCGTACATGGTTTCTGTCTGACGCCTCATGAAGAGGATTTGCGTTTCTGCTTCTTGCCTTTGTTGCTGTTCTGAGGGGCAGCAGCAGCAAACCCTAAACCCTAAACCCTAAACCCTAGACCAAATTTCCGAGCTGTTTTGTCAATGACATCCTTTTTGTAGTGAAAAAAAGGAACTTAATATCTATTGTTTAGAAGTTAATGTTTAAAACTTAGGGTTTAGGATTTTTAGGGTTTAGGGTTTAGGGTTTAGGGTTTAGGGTTTGGGAGTAACCTGCGGCGAGTTGTAGTCTAAGAGCTTTAAGTCTGTCTGTCTCAACAGCCTTTTTATTCCTCAGTAGATAACTCTCTCCTTCTATTCCTTTTAGCTCGTATCTGTACACAACGCAAACCCTAAACCCTAAACCCTAAACACTCAGAGAGAGACGAGAGGGAGAGAGAAGAAGCCAGCAGGTAAGGAGTAGTCCGAGGGTTTGCTCCTTCAGCTAAGTCGGCTTAGGGTTTGCGCACTGTATATGTTGCAGAGAGCTAGGGTTTATGGTTTAGGATTTTGGGTTTAGGGTTTGGGATTTAAGGTTTAGGGTTTAGGGTTTAGGGTTTAGGGTTTAGAGTGACCTGAGGTCTTTAACATGCCCCCATAAGCAATTAGCTTTCTCTGCCTTTTGCTGCGCCTCTTGCAGCATTTGTGTTATTTTTACTATTTGTGCTGCTGCTTCTACACTAAGAGCAGCAAACATTTGTGCTGCTTCTGTCTTGCTGCATCGCTTGTTGCTGCGTAAACCCCTCATCCTGCTGCTGCTGCTGCTGCTACTCATGGGGTTGTTCCTGCTGCTGTTGTGAATGTTGCTGATGTTGCTGCGGATGTTGCTGTAGTTGCTACTGCTGCTGTGGATGTTGCGACTGCTGTTGTGGTTGTTGTTGCTGCTGCTGCTGGGGTTGTTGTTGTTGCTGCTGGTGTCGTTGGTGCTGCTGGTATTGTTCTTGCTGCTGCTGCTGCTGCTGCTCATCTTGTCGACGCTACTGGTGCTGTCGGTGCTGCAACACAAAAGACAGACGCAGCAGCAGAAACTGCTTGCATGCAGAAACCCTAAACCCTAAACCCTAAACCCTAATCTCTAAATCCCCGACATAAAGGCTTAAACCCTAGAGTGCACACTCTATACATTAAAACGTCAAGTACACACCCCAAACCCTAAACCCTAAACCCTAGAAAACCCGAAGGGATATGATGCCTTGTACTCACGCACCTGCTGTTAAGGGTTTTGTCTTAAGGGTCTTTGGCTAGCGGCTGCAAAACCGACACAGGTTTTAGGGTTTAGGTTTTAGGGTTTAGTGTTTAGGGTTTAGGCGTCTGGGTTCTAGCCAGGACAAAGCACAAATTGATTCGATTGAAAAGAAGAATGACATAGGAGGAGGAGCAGCAGCAGCAAACAGCAGCAACAGCAGCAACAACAGCAGCTGCTGCTGTAACCCCCTCAGCGAGCTGCCGCTCTCGCTGGAAGTGACCCCGCCTGTAGCCTCCCTCCGTAAACCCTAAACCATAAACCCTAAACCCTAAACCCTGAAGTCAATGAAATATGCAAATTGAATTGGGGTTTAGGGTTTAGGGTTTTAGTATTAGGGTTTAGAGTTTTCTTCTTGAATGCTCAACTGCGAGGCAGTTAAACCAGTGGGCCGGCCGCTGCTGCTGCGACGGCTACTGCTGCTGCTGCTGCTGCTGCTGCTGCGGCTGTTGCCCCGCAATAGCAAGACATTACGCAGCAAACCCTAAACCCTATGCACGAAATCATTGTTTATGTATATACAAGTCAATAGGGATGTTAAAAATTATAACTGTTCTCTTCTGCTATGGAGGAAATAAGGGTTTAGGGTTTAGGGTTTACAGTGTCGGCTGCCGCCAACCGCTTAAGGGGGGCCCTCAAAGCCCCTGCTGCTGTTGCTGCTGTTGCTGTTGCCGCTGCTGCTTCAGAAGCAGTGGCAGTTCCTGCTGCTGCAGCAGTAGTCGTTAAATGAAAAGCTTTTTAATGTTTAAACCCTAAACCCTAAACCCTAAACCCTAATCCCTCCAGGGTCACCCAGAGGCGCGCCCGTCAAATGGAAGGGAGACTGTAAATCTAAAACCCTAAACCCTAAACCCTAAACCCTAAAACCTCTTTAGGCTTTGTATGATTAAGGAAGTAGGGGGCCCCACAGTAACAAATAGAGACAAAGAGATAGGAAGACACATAGATAGAGACGGCAGGAGCAACAAGAGAGACACAAAGATAGAGACAGCAGCAGCAATAAGACAGACACAGCAGCAGCAACAGGAGATACAGCAGCAGCACAAGCAGAGAAAGACAATAGAGAGAAGAAAAGATGGTTAAGGGGACACAGACCAAGAGAGAGACAAAGAAACTAACATATAAATATATTATATATAATATATATTATATATAAAAAAAGGAATAAAAATAAAAAGGAGAATAAAAAAGGGAAACAAATTAACTAAGCTGTCTTCCTCTTTCTCTTCTCTCCCCTCTCCTTCTTTCGCCTTCACGGCAACTGAGCTGCTGCAGCAACAGCGGCAGCAGCAGCAACAACAGCAGCAGCAACAGCAGCAGCAGCAACAGCAGCAGCAGCAGCAGCAGCAG